TGTCCATCTCTTAGTACAATAACTGACCGTCTTTAAAAACAAACTAACAAACTTGGCCAGTACAAAAGAAATAGTGAGACACTGACAGTCACTCTGCTTTCTATTTATAAAGTGAAAGTAGACAGATGCACTCAAAGACTGACAATTACAAAGACATAAGCTACATAAGCTAGGATGAGATATGTCTTTATTGATCCCTGAAGGGAAAATTTTGATGTTAGAGCAGTAAAACATGTTTATGTGAGATGGTGAAAAAAAGATGAAAAATATGGAAGTAGAAATGTTATGGAATATACAACTGGGTTCATATTCTATACTCACGATATGTTTATTATGGCCACCAAGAAATCTATGATAACAAAGGGCAATTCTGAAGATTAGAGTTCATCCTGGGGAAAAAAAAAAAAAATATTACCAAGGATAAGCCACCATATGTGTCATTAGAGGATTTTAAATGGTTTGTGGTCTTAACTGTTTAAATCAATGGTGTGATGACAAACATCTCCATCACTTCCTGCACTGGAGCCATTAATCTACAAACAGACTTACAATGTTGGAAAGGATGAAAAAAAAAAAATCAATTGATTCAATAATCCCTGTAATCTTGTATCAATAAGGACTGCAGCAATTTGTTCCAGGCTGTAGGGTTGCCCTTTGAAATCTAGGTTTTAATCAGATTTTTGGCATGTTAATGCTTTTCTCATGCATCTTCAGTAGGGTCATTATGTTAGAGTCAATACAATCAGTAAGCTCATTTGAGCTGGACATGTGACCAGCTCTGTGATCCACACGCCTACGTTTCATTAATTCCTCTAAAATGAAATTCAGAGTTGCAATGTCCTTTCCCTCCCTTGTAATCTAATAAGTGTAATGATACAGATTTCTGAATTCAATCAGCTTTAATCTCGGGGATACAGATGCTCTCAAAAGGGAGAGAAAAATGCTGTCAGCTGGAGAGTGGTGAAACATTTAAGAAAAAAAAATGGAGCTACTTTAGAGGGATGAGGACATACATTACTAAAAAGACAATTTGAGTATTTCCAGTGAAATCCCTGCCCACTACACCCCGCCCCCTCTGTTATGGAATAAGACTGTTAAATGGCTGTACATTTTAAGTTAGAGAATTAAAAAACTACATTATACATGTGCGAGAAAAAACTTGTTGCTTCGCTGTGAAAATTCACACTGCATAAAAAACTAAAAGAGCGCCCTGAGAGCACATATCTCCACCAAGGCTAATTCCCTATCGCGTCATATCAAAGCAGTGTTTACCATTAATTATCCAGAGTGTGGTGGCCTGTCATATTCTAATTTGTCCTGCTACAGTTTCATAATGAACCCGAAAAAATGTTGACACTTCCCATAAGGGATCTCCAACTTTGTGTTTTGGTCGGTTGCTGCATTGCATAGCTGTGTGCAGGGATGTTTGCAGCGCTATTCACCTCATGCTTACTGCCACTGGCACCCTAAACTTGTTACTGTCCACCACGCAGTTGTGCACGTACCAGCAAGTGGCATGCAATGCAATACTCTCTCATGTGAGACCTTCTCTTTTCATCTTAATCCTGTGAACCTGTCACTCAACATTTGTTACGCACGTGAGTGACCTTTGTGAGCATGTGTGTTCATGTGCAACCCACTACTGCCCAAGATTGAATGAATTCTGTGAAAGAAAAACCCTGGATCCACCCATTTATTTGAATCCCCTAAAATAAGTTAAAGGGTTCTTTTCTGGACCATATCGCCTCCACAAAATGTCATGGGAATTGATTAATCCTGCTAAATATCAAACAAACAAATACAGACATGCATAACCTCTTTGGTCGAGATAATTATGATTCACTTTTTCATTTATCAAACCTCTTCTTGTTCGAGTTAACATTAAGTAACACCCTTGTGTATGATAGAGTTGAAAAGCTTCCAAAATAACTAGAATTCTAAACTCATTTTGTGAGTTCAGTAAATGTTTTGTTTTCTCTCACTGATGAAACCATAACCGTGGAAGATAACAGTTTGTGCTTCTGTGCATTTAATCTGACGCTACTTTAAAGAGCAGCTCATGACCCTAAAGTGTATATATCACCTCATTTGTCAAACATGGCGGTGGTTCTGTAATGGTTTGAGTCTGTTTGGCTGCTAGTGGAGCTGGCACACTTATTGGCACATACACATTTATTGACAGTTGACAGCTGAACTACACAGGTGACATTGAAGATTCAACCTTTTCTCAGACCTGTGTGGACAAACTCGACTTGATCAGCATCTCTGTGTCTGTCCTAGTGTTTTATTTTTAACACTTTCAGTATCCCTGAAAATGAAGTAGATAAATTATATTCAGTCTTCACTCAGTTTACTACCCCTCATTAAAGCTCCACCCCCTGTCCACCCACCACACTAAATGTCCATCAGCCAGCGTGATTGAAAACGCCTGTGTGGGCGTTTGGGGCCTTAAAGCCAGTTTTCTGGATTTTATGGTATGATCAGTGTCAAATTATAAAATGATAGTTCTTAATCACTGGAGGAGGATTTGCACAAAAACCGATGTGTCTTTGAAAGAAGCAGTGACACAGCAGAACCTCTAACTTCTTTCGAGGTTAAAGTTGCCTTTGAAGAAAAAAATAAACAGTGTCAGAAATACATTTATGGCAGTGATATTTTTTTGATTATATCAGATGTATGAGTGTGCTAAATAAGTAAATTCATTCTGTTCTACAGTAAATAAATTCAGAATGCAGGAAATGTAACCTTATTTACGCAGAGCTGTACCATGAGGATGTAACTGAATTTATTTCTCTGCCAGCTCTTCTCGTCTTTGACAGTTGGATGTTTGTCTTTATTTCCAGCCTCTCTGCAAAACCAAGAAAGGAAGCACATGGGTCCCGGCTTTGCCCGGTGTCTTGGCTGTCCATCCACAGATTGTTGTGAAACCACACCACTGGGCTACAACATTACTTCAATGTAAGCAAAGCAGAATAACATGTGCATGTTATCCTTACTCAACTGTTGTTTGAAGGGAAACAAAAAAGTTTTAATATTTACATTGCATTTGAAACACTTCAAGGCCATTCATCATAGAACATAGGAAATCCATCTGTTATTTATTTATTCTGCATAAATGTTTAAGATAATATAAGATAAGATGTATAAGATTATAGTTTACATAAAGGTGGCAATTGTATTCAAATATGTGCATTCTAAATTATGAAATATATATTTTACTTTTAAGTACCTGGCAAAGACCAGGTAGTTAAAAGGTTAGTGGCTAAATGGCGAAAATATTTTGTGACCCACCCCCTCCAGAAGAAAAGGTATAGATACGGCTGGAGCTGTAACTAAAGTATTATCCTTTTGTGCTGATGAGTATCTTAAGTAAATTAGTTTGTTTATAGGATTACTTCAAAGGATTATTTTGGGAAAAAAGAGATTACAAATGTATAAACAAATGTTTTTATCCTTTATGAATCCAGAAAGATTAGACCTCTATTAATCTTAAATGGACCACCGCTCTGTGTTTTGTAAAGCTTGGTTACTGAAGTCTATAGTCCCCTAATAGGCAAAGACCAATTTATTTTGATGTGTATTTTTTCCTCTTATAAAGTTAATGATGTGTTGGATTTTTACTACTGTGTATCATCCAGTTGCTATTGAACAAAAGAATGAACATTACACGCATATGAGGAATTGTAGTAAACATTCTCCATCAGTCAGTCACTCCAGTCTTTTGAATCCTTCAGGGTTTTACATGTGAACCTCTTTTAATTCTACTTAACACTACTTTGAGCTTGTGCAGATCTCCTGTGTAAGCAAATGCCAAATGTAGTTTCTTCTGGACTTTCAAAAGTAACATTAACCAATTTTGGCTTATAAAACATATATATATATATATATATATATATATCTTCATTAAAATATCTGCTCTCCATCTCCACAAGCACAGCCACATTACTATTCATAGTCTGTCCACATCCTAGGCTAAAATATTTTGTCTGCGCGTTGACATCCAGGAAAACGGTGGTGAAAAGGGAAAAGAAAATTATTCTTAAAGGTGGGGAAAAAAGAAATGACAGCAATACAGTCTTCCCTCCGTGTGATCTTTTTAGAAATGTTGGAGGTTACAGGTCACATGAAACACACAAGGAAGCTTTTCACCACTGAATTAAAAGACAGATTGCATCACAGTTGCACCAGACACAAGTCTGCAAATTCAATACAGGGCCTGACTCGTGTGGATGAAGCATGTGTTGAGGAAACTTTTATACGTGTACAAAAAGGAGAACACAAATAAGCATCACATGTCTATTTAAAGATAACAAAACTTCCCTTGACGATAGCAAAATGATCAATATTGTCTAACGAAAGCTGCAGATGTAATGATGCCCTCTAATTTATTTTGATTAAGGAAAATTAGGTTCAATGTTGACATTTCTTTTGCTAGATGGACAGAGAAGCCACTGGGTTTGGGATGAGCCTTTGAAAATAGTCAGTCACCAAATACAAACTACTTGGCTAGAAGTGTAACCAGTAGCATAATTTAATATTTAAAAGTAATATAATCTAAACCATGGACGCTGCCACTTTTTAATTTATTTCTCTTGAAACATCTGAAAGCAAATGAGGAACACTAGTGAAAATTATTGACACAACATTCAAGGTGAAGCAAAATATTCAAAAGTATAACAATCTGGGCTGATCATAGCTTCATATACACCTGATAATGTAATCCCGCTGCAAATGTCATAAAAAATATAAGGTACATTTTTTCTCTCCTTGAGGAGTTATCCATTTAGCTGGATCTCATTACATCCACTAGAACTTGGTGTGCTGTTTTTCATAAAGTTTTTCATAATTTTTTTCCTGCAGCAATAGTTTAGACATAACAGAGAAGTGTGAGTCCATCACAGGAATATCAAGGCTCTCTATTCTTTCAGGACATGGGGTGAGGACACACAGCACATGCAGTAAAAGGAAAGAACCACTTACACTGTT